TTTGACTTTTCCTTCTGAGTTTCCCCTCAAGGTTTTAAAAACGCGTCCGCTAGGGAGAGGTTTCCACACCCTTATAAACAAGTGTTTTGTTCTCCTCCCCAACCGATATGGTATCTCACACTGGTAGATAAGAAGCTCAAATACGTTTTCAAAGATTTGTTGAACTGCTTTAGAGATCCAGAATCAGGACACTATTTTCTGCTGGGCCTTCCATTTCAAAGCTGTTTGAATGGTGACATTTGTTTAAAAGATATGAAGCCTTTCGATGTTTCTAAAATTTGATCAAGTTTTATGGTTCCCTTTCTTTGCAGGACATTTTTACTGCTTATAAGCAGCCATTTGCCATAACATATCTTGGAGCTTCCCTCATGGTAGTTTACCTCCCAATAGCATTCCTTAAGGATTGGTTTTGTAGTTTGGTGAGAAGCCACTCTTCTAAAAGTGGAGCGGAGACAAACTTGGATGTGGAACTTCAGGGGAGTTTCACTAGAAAAGACAGTGATGCTGATTTTTCAGCTCATTCTGAAGGAAGTCCCCTGGTTTCTAGAAACAAAGATGCTCCATGTATATTGAAACAAGAGAAAGAGCTTACTAACAAGGAAATTGCTGCATATGGATTTTACATCGCCCCCATCTGGTTTGTAACCGAGGCAAGTTAGCACACGTCTTTGGCTTTCTTATTTGGTTCGATAAACTATTGTCCAATTTATTTGTCTTTTGATCTATGAGATCCCACGTTGGTTGGAGAGAAGAATGAAACATTTTTTACAAGGGTGCGGAAACCTCTCCCTTGTAGACGCGTTTTAAAACCTTGAGAGGAAGCCTGCAAGTGAAAGCCTAAAGAGGACAATATTTGCCATCGGTGGGCTTGAGCTGTTACATAATTGATTCGACATTTTCTTAAGCATATTTATGTGATATTCATTATGTATGACATGATTTCAAATGAAACGTTTTCAATCCTGTTGTAATAGCTCAAGTTTACCGTTAGAAGATATTGTCATTTTTGGACTTTCCCTTTTGGGCTTCCTCTCATGGTTTTAAAACGCGTCTACTAGGGAGAGATTTTCACACCCTTATAAGTAATGTTTCGTTCCCCTCTCCAACCGATGCGGGATCTCACGATGGGGCGATGTTCTCAGTCACTCTGTCACTAATGAAGACCATAAGATTCTTTTGTGTCAACCCCTATAGCATTGTGAGATATCTCCTTGTCTTGACTGCCATCGAGGTGTATCGGATTATAAAATCTTCCATACGGAGGCATTGACGGGAATCATTCACATCGAACCGTCTTTATGTTTCTTGCACTTTCATCCTTAATTTGCAAATCTCTGCCATCAGACACCTATAATGTGTAGATCTCAGTGATCATCATAGGAACCTGGGATGATATGATATTCCTAATACTTGCTTGCTTTTGCAGTATCTATCAAATGCTGCACTTGCACGGACAAGTGTCGCCAGTACAACAGTCTTATCCTCTACTTCTGGACTTTTTACTCTGTTCATTGGTGCTGCTCTTGGCCAAGATTCATTAAATATGGTCAAAGTTGTTGCTGTCTTTGTCAGTATGGCCGGTGTTATTATGACAACTCTTGGTAAAACTTGGGCCACTGATGAGTCACAACTAACTGCTTCTGAGTATGTGTCCTCTCTTTATTTTGAATCACAGCTCTTTGCTTGGCTTGTAGATCTGTGCTTTATTCATATAGTTTCTGCCTTCATTAGTCAAGCTGGAGTGGCAAACTATATGCATATAGCTCTATTGCATGAACAATCATTGATAGAACACAAGCATTTAAAATTTTGAATGCTTTTACTAAGGATATTAATCCATCCTTATAACCATTGCTAAAACCATAGATCTTATTAAGCTACCGGATTTGTGTCAGGTCCCACATCGGTTGGAGAGAATGAAACATTTCTTATAAGGGGGTAGAAACCTCTCCCTAGTAGACGTGTTTTAAAACTTTGAGGGAAGCCCAGAAGGGAAAGTCCAAAGAGGACAATATTTGCTAATGGTGTGATTGGGTTGTTACAAATGGTATCAGAGCCAGGCACCGGACGTTGGGCTTCTAAGAGGGGTGGATTATGAGATCCCACATTGATTGGAGAGAGGAACGATGCATTCCCTATAAGGGTGTGGAGACCTCTCCCTAGCAGACGCGTTTTAAAATCTTGAGGGAAAGCCTAGAAGGGAAAGTCCAAAGAGGACAATATTTGCTAGTGGTGGGATTGGACTGTTACAAATGGTATCAGAGCCAGGCATCGGGCAGTGTGCCAGTGAGGACGCTGGGCCTCCAAGGGGGTGGATTGTGAGATCTTATATCGGTCGGAGAGAGGAACGAAGCATTTCTTGTAAGGGTGTGGAAACTTCTTCCTAGCATATGCATTTTAAAACCTTGAGAGAAAGCCCACAATATTTCTTATCAATAACTCCGGATATGTCATTTGTAACAAGTCGCTGGCCTAGCAATATAAGGTGTTTTTGTTATCCCTGATAGTTAAAATTCTGGTGCAGCAACGAACACTCTCTCATTGGAGATCTTTTTGGCCTACTCTCAGCCGTGTCGTACGGGCTATTCACCGGTAATAAAAGTGTATCCTTCTTGATATTCTTAAGATTTATGTATTGCTTTTGATTTGATTAGTTCTTTGAATTCTTTCTGTTGTAGTGCTTCTCAAAAAGTTTGCTGGTGAAGAAGGAGAGAGGGTTGATGTGCAAAAATTGTTTGGATACATTGGTCTTTTCACACTTGTTACACTTTGGTGGCTAGGTAATTGAGATTAAGATCACTTTAGCATATGCTTGAAATGCTGGTTGGCTCATGAGATTGGTATCAAATCTGTTCATTTTTTGTTTCAGTTTGGCCATTGACAGCCATGGGAATAGAACCCAAGTTTTCGATTCCTCACTCTCTTCGAACGGAAGAAGTAGTTCTCGCTAATGGCTTCATCGGAAGCGTACTTTCTGATTACTTCTGGTATGTCGAATCAAGTTGACACGACCCGACCCTTCCAACGTGTTCTATTCACTCACTCGTAACAATCCCTTCTCACATTGAACCTTTTCTCTTGTATTCAGGGCACTCTGTGTCGTATGGACTACGCCGTTGGTGGCAACGTTGGGCATGTCGCTCACCATTCCGCTTGCCATGTTGGCTGACATGTTCATCCATGGTCGTCACTACTCGGCGGTTTACATGCTTGGCTCAACTCAGGTAACTAACTACCTTTGTGATTCTGATCATGAAAGTACCAATAGATTAGCATCTATAAATGTCGACTAGCTTCGAGCTATATATAATGATTGTATTTGAGTAACAATAGATTAGCATCCATGGAAACCAAGCTTTCATTGAAAAAAATGAAAGAATATACAAGTACATACAAGAACTAACTCGAGCTTAGAAGAATGATACACAAAGTTCCAACTCCATAACGCCCATAAACAGGCATTAAAACTCACCATATTCTAAACTTCCTCTAAAAACCTCTCCATGGTTCTCTCGAGTTTCGATCCACATCCCAAATTGTTTATGTGTTTGTAACAACCTAAGTCCACCGCTATAGAGATTGTCCCTTTGGCCCGTTACGTATCGTCGTCAGCCTCATGGTTTTAAAATGGTCTACTAGGGAGAGGTTTTCATACCCTTATAAGGACTGTTTTGTTCCCCTCTCCAACTGATGTGGGATCTCACTATTTACTCCTCTTGGGGGTCTAGTGTCCTCGCTAGCACACCATCCAGTGTCGGGCTCTAATACCATTTGTACCAGCCCAAACCCACCACTAGTAGATATTGTCCGTTTTGGCACGTTACGTATCACCATCAGCCTCACGATTTTAAAACACGTTTACTAGGGAGAGGTTTCCACATCTTTATAAGGACTGCTTCATTCCCCTCTCCAATCGATGTGGGATCTCACTATCCACCCCTAGTGGGGGTCCAACATCCTTGCTAGTACACTATCTAGTGTCTGATTCTTATACCATTTGTAACCGTCAAATCCCACCACTAGCAAATATTGTCAAACCCACCACTACCATTTGTATCGTCGTTAGCCTCACGGTTTTAAATCGGATCTACTAAGGAGAGGTTTCCACACACTTATAAGGTTTGCTTTGTTCCCATCTCTAACCGATGTGAGATCTCACAGTATTACACAAATCATTCAAACTAAAAGACTTGTTACAATCAAATCCTCGAACAGTAGGCATCAATATCTTTTATACCAATATCTCGAGTCGACATCTTGTGGAGACGGGTTATTGTATACTTTTGGTGTTTTGGTGTTGTGGCTTGCAGGTGTTTGTAGGATTTGTAATTGCCAATCTTTCAGAATGGTTCTCAAAGAAGCTGGGCTTGTAGCATTTGGAAATTCTTAATTCTCTCTCCTTCATCAATTGAATTGCAATGTAAATTCTGATTGAAAACTGTAAAATCTTCAATTTTGGGTTAAAAAAAAAGAAAAAAACACCATTTTCATACCACCATAGATTACTTAATTCTACTTGCGTTTTACCATTGGTCGTGTAAAGTAAGTCGAAACCCGTTCGTTGGGGTCGTATTTGGATATTGAGCCCTTCATGTAATAAAAATGTTTCTTTTATAATATAATATCGGTAAGTTTTTTATTTTGATTTTCGACCCTTTTTAATATTTTGTTCCAAGCATAATGATTTAATAAATGAAGTAGAAAATTTCGGTTTAAGTTATATAAAAATAATTATTTTTTGAAAAAATTAATAAATTTAGTGAATTGATTTATAAATTTTAATATGAATAGTTTAGTTTTTAGTGTGAAAAATGCAATTTTAAGATAGTAATGATTATATATTTAAATAAAATTATAAATTTAATTTTTAGTATATTCTTAAAAAAATTTAATTTTGTGTGCTTTTTCTAAATAAAAAATTGAAAATTTTAAATATTATTAAATATAAATTTTATGACAGTTTAGAGACTGAGAAAGAAAAAATAAAGAAAAAGAATAAACTAAAAATGAAATCAGATGGGATCGAGAGAGAGTAAAATCCTTTCTCCTTGGAAGAACCTTGAGGAAGCTTAGAACGCGAGGACCGAGATCTTCCCTGTTCCGAACCGTCCGCCGTAGAAGAATCATCGAAAATGCGATCCCAAGCTTCCGTTCTCTTACTGTTACTCCAGCTTTTCTTCTCTCTGTTGTCTCCGTCTCATGCGATTTCCACTGGGTAGGTCTTGGTGCTTTGTTTTTAATTCACTGTGACTTTGTTTGTGCTCGAATTATCAGGAACATGGATTTAGTATGTTATGATCGATGATTCTGTCGATTTAGTTTCCGCAGTTGTCTCTATTATTGTCTTTTATCTCGTTGTTGTGTTTCGCAGGTCCGGCGATGGATACACCATCTATGGTCGCGTGAAGATTGCGGGTTTGTTTCTTCTTTTTCTTATTCTACGTAGTTCTGAATGTTTTTTGATACAGGGATTCAAGATAGAGTTGTTGCTTCTTCTTTTTTTTTTTTTTTTTTTTTTTTTTTTTTTTTTTTTTTTTTTTTTTTTTTTTTTTTTTTTTTTTTTTT